TGTGAAATGTCAGTAAGCTGTAAGCTGAAATGAACATACTCTATTCCACGTCTCAGAAACAGATAGAGGCATACATTATTTTCTTTTTTGTTCTCCATATCACATTAATTGTCGATTTTTAAAATTAACTCTAAGGCTCAAAACTAAGAGTTTTTTTTTATGATTCTCAGGGCTCCCTTGGGGAACACTTACTTGCAAGGGTTCTGAGGATTTGTTGGAGGCACGGTGCTCAGGCCTCACTGTCTCTGACCTTCTGCCCGTCTAGGAGGCGGGGCCCGGGGATGCTGGAGCCCTTTCAGATGCGACTCTCAGCCAAGGCTGCTGCTGCTGCTGCTCGTGGGAAGTGGCGCACTGTACCTGCAGCGCTGCGTCTGTGTAAATTCACAGCGGGGTTGTCGCTTGTGGCTGCAGAGTCACGTGGGCTCAGGTGAGGGTGGTGCCACTAATGCCTCTGGTCTGAGCACCTCTTCTGTCCACCTCTGTGGTTCTGACCTGGTGGGTCATGTGTGCCTCAGCCTCTAATTCCGATGGTGGCCGAGGCTCACGCCTCAGCCTGTGGGTTCTTTGACAGACAAGGTGAGCCCCTGACCTCTGGCCCTTGGCCCCTCAGGACCAGCTTCCCCACCTGAGAGTGCTGCCCACTTAGGTTGGTTCCTTCTGTTGCTCAAATCCAGACTCTCTGTGACAGGGAAGGTTAATGATCACAGACTGTTCTGTACAACACGGTCCCGACTTGGCTGCCCGGCCAGGTAGGTCTCCCGGCCATAGCTGTTGGTCTCCCTCGGGTTGCGGGATGAGGAATAGGAACCTTCCCTGAAATTCGCTGACCACTGGCCACTCCTTGTTTGAATTTTAAGCTTTCTGTGCTTTTTCGTGCGGCTGTGTTTGATCACGACAAGGCTCTCTCTAAACATCTAAGTGTCAGCACCCCCTCCCGGTATCTCTGGGGTTGGGTGTGTGCTTGTTGCCTTCATTTTTTAGGTGGGAACGTTTCCAACACAAGCCAGGGAGCAGAGGGGATGTTGGTGCTGACCTGAGCAGCACGAAGGGGTGTCGTGCATGCGTACCTGTCGTCTGTGTGTGTGTAGCTGCGATGTTGAAAGTTCATTCTTACCACCAGGTTTTGTCCAAAGAAACTCGGTTATTTTCGGGAACTGTACGGATGGGTTATCTATGTCCCTGCTTATTTGTTAAGTGACAAGAGTGTTAGGTCGGTAAGTTATTTTATAGAGCTGCACAAAGAAGTAAATAGGAAATTCGTCATCTCCCTCCATGCATTCATTCATGCATTGTTCACCGGACAAATATTTCTTTTACAACTGGTAGGCAAGCCATATAGAAAGCAGTTTAAGCTTTCTAATAATCAGCAACACAAAAGTTTGTGTATAATAAATCATCATTTTGTTGCTGTAGACATTAGTCAGTAAATATTTACAAAAGTAGGGGATATGATGAACTTAAAGCATAATGAACTTAAAGTATATGATAAACTCTGATGCATAATGGCAGCAACGAAAATTGGTACAGGCTTTGGGAAAGTCATTTTGGCATTTGTCTTCATGGATCAGAAAAAAATGACCTGTGATTGGGTCAAAATTCGGGAACTATTGCATCCGTCTTCTCAGAGATTTATGTTTGCGTCGTAGAAGCTGTCTTGCCTGAAAGCAGGATAAAAATCTAGCCTTTGCTATGTCTTTTTGTCTTGTGTTTGTGGAAAGCCTAGTAAGTGCCTCAGAACTAGTGCCTTTGTTCCACAGTGTGAGAAATGCCGGAGGTCCCCGAGGGCTTTTAATCTTTTCCTAGAGAAGGTTCGAGTGTCCTGGATGTCACGCAGCTGGGACTGGCAGGAGCAGCAGGTTGGGAGGGAACATGAGGGCTTCAGTGTAACTTTGACAGAGGTTGGGAGGGACAAGTAGAACGTATAACCCATAAGTGGAAAGGTGGCTCTTAAAGTGGAATTAAGACCGAATGTAGAAATATGTGAATTCTGTGACTATGTGTGATCGTTGTGACCACAGGAGTTGCCGAGTTTGCCTTGGAATAAAAATAGATGACAATCTGAAGGGACCCGCGAGGGGAGAGGTGCACAGGCCAGGGAGTGGGAGAGAAGTCCGCTCTTGGCGGTGCTGCTGCAGGGTCCACGAGAGGAGAGGATGCTGGAAAATGAAATCTGCCGAAAGGTCACAGGTCACAGGTCACAGAACAGGCACAGGGAACAAGGGCTTTTCGAGAAAGGACCGTTTTGGGAGGGTCACGAGGCACTCGCTTTGTTTCATTAGTAGCTAGCTGTACACTATTAAATGGCAGCGTGCATCTTCATTTAACATTTTATTTTGAAATAATCTTATTTCATGGAAAAGTTGCAAAATAATAGTTTCCATGTTCCCTTTACCCAGTTTTCCCTAATCACCTGGCATAATTATAACACACTTAGTAAAGCTAAAAAACCGTCATTGGTTTAATACTGCTAAGTAAATTACAAACCAGATTTGTTCCCTGTAGCCTTATAGTTTACAGTCAAAATTTTGTTTTCCAGTGTTGCTTTGATTAGTTCTTTTCTTCCTTGCCCTCTTCAGCGTGGTTATGTTATTCACTTGTAAACGTTAGGATCTTTGTTACAGGTGGTCTTTCATTTTGGGCCTTTCCTTATTTATGGAAAAAAAATTTTTTTTTTTTTCCAATTTATATGCAGTAAAATTCTCTGGGTTGTGACAGATGCAAAGAAGTGTGTATCTAGCCCCACAATTGTGGTACACAACAGTTCCGTCACCTCCCCAAGTCCCTTCTTATAGCCGACATTGGAGAATGGGTTGCAGAGAGGCCAGGAATTGTCCCTGTGATTGAGAACTTGACTGTGAGGGCAGTACGCCGATGAGGCAGAGCGCCAAGGCCGAGCCACTGGGTCGAGGCTGGGGGAGGTCTCTCTATGCCAGGAGGTCGGTTGTGGAACAGACAGAGCTCGTCCACCTGGCAGAGCCAAACACTGAACACCGAGGATGGCAGCGGAGAGAGACTGGCTGTTTTATTATGGGCATGGGCGGTGCCATCCGAGAGAATGGGAGTCTGATGCTCAAAAGCCTGAACTCCCCGATGGCTTGTAGGTTACAAATTCTAAGGGGCGAATTTCCAGAGCAGTGTGGGTTAGGGATCAGGGTCTTGCTGGGAGCTGATTGGTTGGAGCTGAGGGTAACGAATCATTTTTCAGGTCTTGAGGAGAGTTCTGAGTTCTCTTCCTGCCTCCCTCTGTCCCCTCTGTCAGGTCTCATGGGAAAGTAGCCAGGGGGCCATTCCACCTTAGGGCTCAGGAGCTGAGACATAACTTACGTCAAGATGTTATCTGTAGCCTGCCAGAGGTCTGGTCCCTGTGACCATTAGTCAGGCTACTGTCCTGCGCTGCCTCCAGGGTTGCTGATTATCGGGGGAAAGGTCAGGTCTCAGGGTTGTATAGAGAGAGAGGGATATGCTTTCTAGTGCAAGGATTGAAAAGTAAATGTAATCAAAGTCATAAGGATCCTTGCTTTCAGGTAGAGGTGACAGGAGTGACCAAAATGACAGGAGAAGGGCAGCAGGCTCTTGGAGGAGGACCCGCCTGGGCAGGCCAGCTGTGCAGGGGTGGCAAAGGCCGGTAGAAAGGAAGGGCGTGGGGACAGGTCTCGCCTGGTGCCTCTTATCTGAGAGGTTGACTGCAGACAGGAAAAGGCAGAGGCGTGGAAGGAGGTAAGAGGAAAAGGTTAGAAACGCCTGTCTCCTGGCAGGGTGGGAGTTAACAGTAAGGAACAGAGGGTTGTGGAGCTTAAGTGACCCAGGAACCCCGGGGACATGGAGCAGGGGTTTGCCCAGTCTTCTCTGGAGGTTTTCTTGGCAGCTGCAGAACCTGAGTGGAAAGAGCACAGGAGCTCTTTATGGCTGAGCTTTTGTTTTGACCCATCAGTGCTTGGCACTGGGAGCGGGGGGTGACGTGAGCAGTAAGCCAAGAGCTGCAGGTGGAGCTGAAAAGGCGGAGGTGTGTAGGGACCGTTCGCTGATGTGGTGGCACGTTCCCTTGACTGCTCCTGAATTCCCTTGGCTTCTCCTTAAGGACAGGGGAGAATGGTGGGCGGGGGAGGGCAGGGGAGGCACCCTCATTTGTGCGGCCTCGAGGGAAGAGTGAAGAATAACCGCCGGGAAGGGCTGGGGCTGGATTATTCTCGTGTGTCCCAGGCTTGCGCTCCGATGAAATGACTTTACATTTCCAAAAAGCAGTTTGTACTTTCACGTCAGTTATATTCGAATCAGGAATATTAGGTCTTAACCGCAGAAGAAAACACCGTGTTGGCCAAAGTACCTGTAGATCGATAGTTGGTACCATCAGAATTTAGTGAAACAAGCGAATATCTATTCTGGATCGTAGCAGTTGTATTTACTGGTTTCTTTTGAATGCATGCAGGACAGAATCAACCAAATGACTGTTGTGTTCATTTCGCCCTGTGTATGTGTTCATTTCACACTGCGTGTTACTCTGCTGTCGGCTGTTGAGAAAACGACATTCTTGTGTTGCCAGCAGGCGTGTTGTCAGCCTCCCCTGCCAGGGCTGGAGGTGAGAGGCGCGGGCCAGGCCGTGCGCAGTGCTGCTGTGTTACAGTTCCTCCCTGTGGCTGAAAAGGCACCTTTAGACCTACAAGGTGCTCTGGCTTCTTGTCAGGATTCACTCAGGGTCCGATTAGTGGAGGACAAAAGATAAAATGAGCATTTGTCACTTGCACGGGGCCTTGAAGTGGCTCGTAATTGTTCCATTTTTACTGTACACACTTAGACATCCCCACATGCATATGCATGTGTTCGTATTATTATTTATTATTTTGAAACCTCAGTGTCTGCCAGTTTTGGGGGCCCGGTCTCCTTGTTCCCCTCCCCTTTCCTGGAGAGAAGCACCAAGGCAGAGGTTCTTAACAGCTTCTCAAGTAGCTGATCAGATTTAAAAAAAAAAAAAAAAATGCCTTGAAACCGACATCCGTTCCCAGCTGGTTTAGGAAAAGTGAAGAAGCAGAGGCAGACCTGTGTAACCGAACCAAACCGGCTTGGCGTTCGGAATGGAGTCGGAGTGAGGAAATGGCTTTCCCTGATGAGCAATTCAGATTGAAGTGGGGGAGAAGCAAAAGGTCAGTTGGGGAAAAAGAGATGTGATCCCCTCCCCTCCTCTCCCCTCCCCTCCCCTCCCCCTCCTCCCTCTTCATCAGTTGGGAAAAGAAACTGCTTTTGTCGGGTGGGGACGTTGAAGACATGTAATGACAGAAAGCCCTGAAAATGCTAACGGTGAGAGAGCGACCGGTGATGGGGGCAGCGCCCGGGTCTGCAGACTCGCGTGACGGGCACGACCAGGCCGGAGCGTGGGCGGCCACGGAAACCAATCCGCGTGGTTCTCCAAAGACATTTAAAAAACTGGGTGTGCTAGATTCCTCTTCTGTGAGGAACAAAATAAATGCGAAACGTTGCATAACATTAACATATGCCATAAGAACATTTTATATTTGAAGGAAAGATGAAGAGGATAGAAACATGAGTTAGATTCATTAATCTATTGAATTATTTCTTTAAAAAGGGCCTCAATGGACAGGTAGTGCTAAAAAATAGTGACCAGTATAGTCCCCAAAGAGAATAACAGACCTTGTATTATTACCGTTCTATGGGAGAGTCGCATAAGGTGGCCGAGGTGGTCAATAGATTTTGATTTATTTTTCTTTAGGATTATTACAATTTAGAGTTTATTGATTTTCCTTAAAGAAAATGTTAGTTTCTCCATTCAGATGGGGAGCCCAGTGTGTTATCACTGCTCGTATTGACCTTCGAATATTCCTCTTGGAGGCAAGACCTCGGCTGGGGTTAGGCATTGCTCTCTGGGGATGATTTGACAGATATGTCCATGGTTGGGTAAAGCCCCAGCCTCTTACGCCATCCTTCTCGAGGTGGACATTGGGAAACAGCTCCATGAAGAACAGTTCTTTTTTATTGCAAAGCATAAGAAATATGATTAAGGGGTGAATAGGTTTTTCTCAGGTTTTTCTATCGACTTGATAGCTTTTGACTTTTGCCAACAAAGATGAAACAGCTTTATGTAATTTTAAGAGGCTTTGGTAGGAAAGGAAGTGTTTCGTCTGTGTCACAGGAGTAAAGTGATCATGTGGCACACTTGTGTTCTTTCAATTTTATTCTCCGTAAATAGGCCTAGCATTTTTCCTCCCAAGTGTCTTTGGGTAAAAGAACATTCTACATTAAGCACGAATGCTATTAGTGAATTATAGGTTATGTAAATGGGGTTTAGTTTTAAATTAAAAGACTGTAAGTGCCTTTGAAGGAAGATATATTTTATAGAATGTAAATGAAATGAAAGACATTGCTACAATAACTAAAGCTAATTCTGTTTGAAAATCAGGCTATTGAGGCAAAGCTAAAATTTCGAGATCTTTTTATGTTATCTGTCAAGAGAGAAGATAGATTTTTTTTTTGCAATGTTTTGAAGAAAAAGAATCTATTTTTAAAAGAGTAGTACTTAGGAATTGGGGTGAAAAATGAAGAAAACTTTCAAACACAAACATTTCTTTTTTACTTGATACAACTGCGAAATGAAGTGGGAGTTAAATATTCTTTTTTCTCCCAAGTGGAAAATCTGCTCTTGCCTTCCGCCGTGTGGGAAGGTAACGGGTAATAGGACAGTGCGACTGTGGGTGTGAAAGGCATTTCTGTAAATCAGAAAAGGAGAGTGACGTCACAGAGCGCGGTGTTTATTAATTACGTGAATTATACAACCGCAGAGCGGTCAGTCCACCTGCACAGTGACCCGGGGTTTCAGAAAATGTGGCATGCTGTCACTGGGCCACCAGCGCTCCGGCTTTTATGCCCGTTGTGCGTTTCCACCCTGGAGTCAGGATTCCGTCAGGTGACCTAGAAGGGCTGACTCATAGTTTTTTAAAACCGCTGCTGATTCACTCCTACCCTCTTTGAAGTGTCCTGTTGTTTCACCCCTGGCCGGGTTTGCCCACTTCCCTCAAGAGAAAGCATAACTCTTGGGATATAGAGGAATGGGGAGCAGGGTGTGTTGCTCCTGCATCTGAAATGTCTTCTCAAGCCCTCTGGGGAGGGGCGGGGAGCGTTGCAGGCTTGGACCATCCTCTCTGGGGTTCTCCAAGCCTTAACTTGCTTAAGTCGACTTTACTGGGCAGATAGGAAAAGATACGGGTAGTGTGGTGGGCATCAGCCTACCACTGACTGGACGATTTGCTCATGCCGCTGCTGCCGTGGGGAGGAGCACCTGTGCATTGATAAATCGGGTAGGTAGGTACTCGCTATGTGTAAACAGAAGGAAAAGATAATAAGAATCATACGTTAATCTTCCAGGTGTTCATAAGGATACCTGCCAGTTGCATTGCTGATCTGAACTCTGCCATGTCTCGTGGGTGTGTCCTGGGCCTACCACCCACTGGGGATCTGAATTGCCTCTTATGGTGCTTTTGCTCCTGAATTGACTGCCCTCCAGCATGAACTGTGTGAATGAAACTGGATGACGTCTTCTGCTCACCCAAATCAGAAGGAGAGGGCAAATGACATGAATCCCGAGTAGCTATAAAGAAAGGATGGGGGGACTTAGGTGGAGCCACACTTCCACTGGAACTTCCTTGGTCCAAGCTTTGGATAAGTGGTAGCATTAAAAAACTACCTTCAACTCTGATGGGGAATTAGAGGTGGCTCACGATCCTATGACTTGAGTTCTGTAAAAACAGCGATTTATAAACTTGGATCAACATGGTTGGTAAAGACAGACCCGAAGAATGCTTGGCTAATGGTGGTTTTATTGTGAGTATTCAGTTTATCACTGAAATACGATGCTTACAAATAAGAGCGGCGACATTCAGGGATTATTCATAAGTGGGTAGACTCTTAAGTAGATAATATTAAATGACAGACGGATTTTTCATTCCCCATATTCTTCAGTTTAAGTGTTTAACTTCATTTTAAAAAGAAAGTCATCATCACGGACTTTCACACGGGCGCGGCTTCTCAGACGTTCTCACGTCAGTGTGAGCTCAGAAGTGTTGCCTTCTTGTTTCCTCCGCAGTTTTTGTCTTGGCTGCAGTTTGATGCTGGGGATACATTATTCTCTGTCTGATCCTGCATCCTGCATCTGCCTATCTGAGAGGAGAGTGGCCATGAGTGTTTTCTCTAGGTGAAGCGAACAATCTAGAGAAAAGTATATTGTACTTCTTTAGAGCCGTGTTAACTGAGACATATGTGAACGGAAGGCGATTTATTCTTCAGTTCCTATTGAACGATGAGTGTTTATTTCATCTTCAACAGTAGTTTTTCCCAGCCAAATTCTTAGAAGTGTCTGGACATGTCCCAGAGTGAGTTATTATGTTGAGGGTGTTTTAGCAGCTGATGATGGATTTGTACTTTGAGTTTTCACCAGTATGTATGTTGTTGCCTGAGTAGAAGTTCAACCTTGACCTTTGTATCATTTTCGTTAGCAGTGCATGATCTTTTACAGACCGTACAAGAAAATAAATTACTAAATACTCCAGTGAAATGTGGAAGACGACTTCTTAGTGATCCAAGCACATTTAAAGGAGGAATAACCTAGAAAATATT